CTTTGCACACATCATTCTAGACTCAATTCAGTACACTATGTCAAATTTCGTGCCAATCGAAAGATATATAAGGACTTAAGGGACCCATTAACTTTAAATCGGACGAAAATATATATTGGAGCTATATCTAAATCTGAACCGATTTTCACGAAACTTAACACACATCATTCTAGACGTAAATCATTAGGCTGTGCCAAATTTCGTGCAAATCGAAAGATATATAGGGACCGTTTACATTAAATCAGACGAAACTATATATGGGAGCTATATCTAAATCTGAACCGATTTTCTCCAATATCAATAGGGTTCGTCCTTGGGTCAATTAAGTGACCTGTGCCAAATTTCATCGAAATCGGATCATAAATGCGACCTGTACTTTGTTTACAATTTAACATCAACAGATGGACGGACGGACATGCATAAATCGACGCAGAAAGTGATTCTATGCATATTCTCAAAAGAAACCCTTTGTCTATCTTGTTTCCTTGTGCCTGTTACAAACATATCTACAAACATATAATACCCTGTACCAAAGTGTGGTGAAGGGTATAAAAATGTTAGTGACCTACACAAGGCGTGGATTTATAAAAATATTTTTTTAAGGACCTACACAAGGCGTTCGAAATATTTTCTTGAAATCCCCACATTTTCACCTCATTGCTGTATTTGCTTATCCTTTGATCACGGTGGGGTAACTTTATCCCCTCTAAGCTCATCCATCTTAAAGACGTTCCATTGTCCTGACATAGATTTATTGATTGGACCTTCCCCCAATCTCACATTCAATATGCAATGCAATTTATGTTGTGTTTGGGGTCTTTTTGTTTTCTTTATTATTATTTTTTGTTGTTGTTGTCTGAATTTTAAATAACTTCCAGAGCTTGCCGTTATCACAACGGCAATCCTTTTTCTAACGAATATAATAAAAAAATATTAAATTACTGCTTTTTGTGCACAAAGAAAGCTAATAAAAGATTTATCTTAATTGCAGTTTTCCACCCAAGTTTGTTTGTGAAAAGAGTGTAGAAAAAAGAGTTAAAGAAGAGGAGGTAATAAAATTGGGGATGGATTAGCTTTAATTACTTTTTATACAAGTAAAATATATAATTTTTTTCACGACCTATGTAGCTAGGTTCCTTAACAAATATAGTTTTTAAAATCTCTTGAAGTTTGGTTTAAATCCACCACGTATGGGACGAAGGACTTTTTTTCATATGTGTGTACCAAAATTTTTTTACAAAACAGGAAGTTTTTTTTACCATTTTTTGACGTTTTTATAATATTTCTTACATTTTCGACATTACGAATTTTACAGTTTTATACACAACATTTCTTTGAAAATAATTCCCTTGCTATAGCAAGTACACATAAACATAATTAAGTACTTTTATTGGGTCCAAAATTGGTTTTATACATTTTCTACATGTTTACGACATTTTCGATTTTTTTTCAAATTTTATTAATTTCAAGCTTAAATAATGTATATAAACACTATACTGTACAAAATATGCATAAATGAAATTAATTTTTAAAACGTTAAAATATTTTCGACAGTTTTTTACAATATACGACATTTACGACACGATGAATTTTTGGGTTTTGTACCCCAAAAAATCCAATACAATTGTTCTTTCAATATTCACTATGATCAAACCCCAAAATAATCAATTTTTTATACGCAAATTAGTTTTATACAAATTTATACAGGTTTACGACATTTTCATTTTTTCGGAATTTTACAAATTTTATTGGTTGTAAACCTGAAACCACATCATAGAAGCTGAAATAAATAGTTTTTGACAATATAAACATACATTTTGAATTTTTTACGACATAGCTAATTTTTAGGGTTAGAACCTCAAACAATTTTTTAATAAACTATTTTTATGATCTAGAATAAGAGAAAAATCAAATTGAGGCATTTTCTGTACCAAAATTAGTTTTATACATATTATACAAGTTTACAACATTTTCGATGTTTACAAATGTTATTAATTGCTAACCTTAATAATGGATATAAATGCTATACTGTACAAAATATACAAAAATAAAACTTATTTTTAAAACGTTAAAAGATTTTCGACAGTTTTTTACAATATATGACATTTACGACATGGCGAATATTTAGGGTGTGCATCCCCAAAAAAATCCAATACAATTCTTCTTTCAATATTCATAATGATGAAACCCCAAAATAATCGCTTTTTTATTCGCAAATTAGTTTTATACAATTTTATACAAGTTTACGACATTTTTAATTTTTTTGATTTTAACAAATTTTATTAGTTGTAAACCTCAAACCACATCATAGAAGCCGAAATAAGTAGTTTAAATGGCCTATTATGTGCTTTCAAATTAGTTTTATACATAATTTAGAGGTTTATGACATATTCATTTCTTTCGATTTTTGCACATTTTAAAGGTTGTAAACTTCAAACCACTTTGTAGAAGCCTAAATAAATATTATTTTTCATTTTATGCTAACGTTTTTGACATTTTTTACAATATTTGACATTTACGACATAGGTAGTTTTTACATAAATAAACCATTTCTTTGATTTAGAATATGAAGAGGAATCAAACTGAGACATTTTCTGCGCCCAAATTAGTTTTATACATATTATACAACTTTACGACATTTTCACTTTTTTAATATTTTTACAGAATTTTAATGGTTGCAGTCACCAACTACATCATATAAGGCCAATTAAATATTTTTTGACAATGTATACACATGTTATTGACATTTTTTACAATATCTGACATTTACGACACGGCGAATTATTCGCTTTTGAATAGCAAAAATTTATAAAATAATGTATCTTTGCGTTATCTAACACGTAGAAACCTCAATATGTATTCATTATTGTTCACAATGTAGTTTTATACATTTTATACAAGTTTACGACATTTTCGATTATTTACATTTTATTAGTTGTAAACCTCAAATCACATCATATAGTCCAAAATAATTACCAATTGTGTAATTTAGAACGGTTTTTGACATTTGCGAAAAGGCTAATTTTTGGGTTATGAAACGCCAGAAATGTTCAAAGTATCCTTCCTAGGATGTATAATATGAAGGAAATAACAAATAATTAAAATTTCTATCCCAAATTAGTTTTATACAGGTTTTATACAAGTTTGCGACATTTATGATTTTTACAAATATTAGTGGTTGTAAACCTCAAACGACATCGTAGAAACTAACATAATTACTATTTTATTACTTTCGTTGGGTTTTTGACATTTTTTACACTATGCGACATTTTTGACATTTTTGGATTTTTTACAAATGTTATTGGCTGTAAATCTCAAACCACTTAATATATGTTAAAATAATTACAAATTATGTAATTTGAATGGGGTTTTGACATATTTTTACAGTATTTGACATTTACGACATGGCGAATTTTTGGGTTATGAACCGCAAACAAATGTTTAAAATGTCTTTCCTAGGATTTATAATATGAAGGAAACAACAAATAATTAAATTTCCAATCCCAAATTAGTTTTATACAGGTTTTATACAAGTTTACGACAGTTTCGATTTTTACAAATTTTAGTTGTTGTAAATCTCAAATGACATCACATTAGCTGAAATAATTAATATTTAAATTGTTTCGTTAGATTTTTGACATTTTTTTACAAATGTGACGTTTTTACATTTTTTACACCATGCGACATTTTTGAAATTTTTTACAAATCTTATTGGTTGTAAACCTCAAACCACTATGTTTATGTTAAAATAATTACTAATTATGCATTTGGATGGGTTTTTGACATTTTTTACAGTATTTGACACTTACGACCAGGTGAATTTTTGGGTTTTAAACCGTAAAAAAAAAAAATTAAAATATCACTCCTAAGAAGTATAATATAAAGAAAAGTACAAATAATGAGATTTTCCTTCCCAACTTAGTTTTATACAAGTTTACGACATTTTCCAATTTTCGGAATTTTTGTGGTTGTAAACCTCAAACGGCATCATATTAGCTGAAATAATAAATATTTAAATAATTTCATTAAGGTTTTTGACATTTTTTACAGTATTTGACATTTACGACCAGGCGATTTTTTGGGTTATGAACCGCAAACAAATGTTTAAAATGTCTTTCCTAGGATTTATAATATGAAGGAAACAACAAATAAATAAATTTCCAATCCCAAATTAGTTTTATACATTTTCTACAAGTTTACGACATTTTCGATTTTTAAAAATTTAGCAATGTTAGCGGTTTTAAACCTATAACTACACCAGATATGTCTAACCATATTCTATTTTTACAATTTTTAGAGGTTTTTGACATTTTTTACAGAATTTTACATTTGCGACAATGCGAATTTTTGGGTTTTGAACCGCAAAAAAATGTTTAAAATATCCTTCCTAGGATGTATAATATGAAGAAAACTCGAAATAATGAGATTGCCCTTGCCAAACTAGTTTTATACAGGTTTTTGACAAGTTTACGACATTTTCGATTTTTACAAATTTTAGCGGTTGTAAACCTCAAACGACAGCACATTAGCCCAAATGAAAAATATTTACTAAATTTCTTTGAGTTTTTGACAGTTTTTTACATATGCGACATTTTTGACATTTACGACATTTTTTGTCGAAAATGTAAAAAATCATCAAATAAATCATTCCGCCCTTTCTCGATGTAAATAAAGCCATTAATAGCATTATTTACACCCCTTTTTTATGGCGATTCTTCATGACGTGTCTGTGTTCGGTGGGTGGGTGAAAGGAGGATGGGGGTGATTTTTTACAACCACCCACCCACCTTTTTTGCAAAATTTTATTGTTTTAATCCTTTTGCGTATCTACTTTTTTATGTAGTGTCTAAGAAGTACATCTGAAATAATGCTAACCTGAATGTTTTTTCTCTTCTCTTTCTTATCTTCCGCATCGTTCTCCCATCCATGGAAATCACGAAAAAACCTCCTGCTCACCACCAATAAATCCAATAACCGAACGGTGTGAATGTCATCAATGAATGAATGGATGGACCAAATGGAAAAAAGGTCACGTGTTGGCAATTCGCAAGGGTCGCCTCATGACTCCAAGCACTTTTACAGCCCTCAGCGGAGATCTGCACATACAGATACAATTCTCACCCGATGACTATGTAAATAGCACCTTAAGAGGTGGTGGTGGTCGGAAACCTAGCCAGCAGGATGCAGTGTCAACAACATCACGTACCATCAATAATCAGGAGGCTACATCCGATAATTCTGTCGTGCCCGAAGTGGAGAATTTCATAACAAATACCCTGGTCATTAGTAAATATATCGATGTTGAAGAAGAGGACGTATTGGGTGAGGGGGTCACGGATGCCACAACGCCAATGGCCACTTCAACCACATCCTCCCGCACGAATGACTCCTTGGTCTTACAAAGAAGGCGTAAAGAAATCGTTCAAAACATACCCGTCTATCCGGATCCAAGGCATAATGTTACCCAGGTGGCGGTACCCTGTCAGACCTTTATGTGGGGTGGTCTCTATGAAATGCAATTGGTCTCAAACCTAAAAATTACCAATAAAAATCCCTCCAACCAAAGTGACTCATCATCCCCTACCCTTACCTCCGCAACAACCTCCAGCACGACGACCACAACCACCACCACATTAATCCCCGCCACCGATGAACGTCTGCGGCAGACCCTAGATGTACGATGGCCCTCGGCCGAAATGATTGTTAGTCCAGTGCGCCTAACCACCTACCCCGATGGACCCGTGGAGGTCACCCTACGCTTTCCCGAAGTCAATTGCGATAATGCCTGGAAACGTGAGGACCTTCCCGAATTTTGGCTTGAACTTATCTACTGTGGCAAGGAGCGGAACTGTTCCCAACTGATGCCCCACAATATCACCAAGTCAAGTATCCTCTTTGCCGAACAGGTGCGAGGATTTCCAAAGCAGAAATCTTTCAAACTATCCTGCGACCTCTTTGGCCTGGCCGGTAATTATGCAGTGCAGCTGCGGCCGATGATACCCGCTCCCCACCTACCTATAACCCGACGCTTCCTCTCCGTCGATTGGTCTGAAAAATATGTTTTCAACGTATATGCAAGGAGTATTTTCCCCTGTGATCCGCATACGGGTATTGGGGTACTCTATGAATATCCCAGTTGTATTTTGGAGCAAGGTGATCGGGTGAGAGTCTATGCCAAATTGAGAGCCGATGTGGCCTCGCTGAAGCCACCGACCTCCTTGCATTATATAGCCGAACAGCGTGTGGTGAAAAATCAATATTCGCTGTACTTTAATTGTGAACTGTTCACCGAAAAATATGTGGAATACTGTTTTGTCTATGTGACCCAAGCGATATCGGGAGCGGTGGCGGATGTTCGCATGGATTGTGTGCCGACATTGCCGGTTAAGGGTAAGTCCGGAAATGTTATCATAGAGATTTTTACACAAAATATATATAATCCTATTCCTAAGATATTTGGTATCGAAAACGGGATTTATGGGTCCACATTTTGGTATAGGTACCCATATAAGTTTAGCCCAGTATATTCAGTATTTTGGGGGGCTTGGGCGCATTTTTTAACCGAATTGCATGTAGTTCAGTATTTTGGATTCGCAATGGGTAGAAACTCACCCTACCAAAAATTATCAATATTGGATCACTTTTTAGGGTACATCCGATTTTTGATATCTTGAGGAGCTTGAGCACATTTTTCATCCGAATTGGCTATAATTTGATATTTTGGGTTGCCATTAGGCAGGGAACCTTCCTACCAAAAATAATCAATATTGGACCATGTTTCGTTATAGCTACCATATAAAGGTATATCCATTAATTCGGGTTTTGGGGTGCTTGGGCACATTTTTCAACCGAATTGACTATAATTTAGTATTTAGGGTCCTCCGATTTTTGATATCGTGAGGAGCTTGAACAAATTTTTTATCCGAATTGGCTATAATTTGATATTTTGGGTTGCCATTAGACAGGAAACCTGCCTACCAAAAATTATCAATATTGGACCATGTTTCGTTATAGCTACCATATAAAGGTATATCCATTAATTCGGGTTTTGGGGTGCTTGGGCACATTTTTCAACCGAATTGACTATAATTTAGTATTTAGGGTCCTCATTGGGTAGAAAATCTTCTTACCAAAAATTATCCAAATTGGATCACTTTTAGAGTAATCCGAATTTCAATATTTTGGGGGGCTTGGACTTATTTTTCAACGAAATGCGTTCTTATTTGATATTTTGGGTTCGCAATGGGCAGCAAACCTCCCTTCCAAAAATTATTTATATTGGACCATGTTTCGGGATAGGTCCCATATAGAGATATCTCCAATTATTCGGTTTTTGGGGGTGCTTGGGCACATTTTTCATTCGAATCGGCTGTAATTTGATAATTTGGGTTCTCATGGAAAAACAAATCTTCCTATCAAAAATTATCGACATTGCCCAAAGATTCGGGATAGCCCTCATAGAAGGGTACCTTCCGATTTTGCTGTAATGGAAACTTTTTCAACCCAATTGTTTGTAATTTAGTATTTTGGGTACTCATTGAGTATATGACATTCATATTAAAAATTATCAATATCGGTCCACTTTTTAGCGTACCGCCGAATTTCTATATTAAGGGGAGCTTGAACACATTTTCCAACAGAATGAACTGTAATTTGAAAATTTTGGTTCTCATAGAATAATAAATCTTTCTACCAAAAATTATGAATATTGGACCAAGTACAAGGGTACCACCGATTTTCGATCATTTGGGGAGCTTGGGCATACTTGCCAACCGAATGGGGTCTAATTTGATATTTTGGGTTCTCATTAGACAGAAAACCTCCCTACCAAAAATGATAAGATTTGGTTAACTTTTTCGAGTAGTCGCCATTATAGGTGCTTCGAAAATTTCGATTTTTTTGGGGAGCTTGGGCACATTTTTCAACCGATTTGGATGTAATTTAGTATTTTGGGGTCTCTTTGGGTGTCGAATATTCCAACCAAAAATTATCAAATTTTGTGCACTTTTTCGGGTAGCTTCCATACAACGGTACCCCTAATTTTCGGTATTTTGAGAATTTTAGTCGGGGTATTCATCCGAATTGCCTGCAATTTAGTATTTGGGGTTCGCATTGGGTAGAAAATCATCCTACATCATTATGATAAATATGGGTCCATTTTTTTCATTTAGGCCCCATTAACGATACCTCAAAAATTTTGGTAATTTAGGTAGCTTGACCACATTTTTAAACCGAATTAAATGTAATTTGGTGATTTGGGTTCTCTTTGTCTGCCAAATATTCTCACCAAAAATTATAAAAATTGGTGTACTTTTTCGGGTAGGTCCCATATAACGGTAACCCTAATTTTCGATATTTTGAGGATATCAGACGGGGTATTCATCCGAAATGCCTGCAATTTGGTATTTGGGTTTCACATTGGGTACTAAATCTTCCTACCAAAAATGATACATATTGGTAAACTTTTTTCGAGCAGGCCCCATTATAGGTGCTTCGAAAATTTCGATATTTTGGGGGGCTTGGGCAGGGTTTTTAACCGATTTGGCTGTAATTTGGTATTTTAGGTTCTTATCGGGCGGCGAATCTTTCTACCAAAAATTAGCAATATTGGTGCACTCTTTCTGGTAGCCCCCCTTATAAAGGTACCCCTTTTCGGCATTTTGCGGATTTCAGACAGGGTATTCATCCGAAATGCCTGTAATTTGGTATTTGGTGTTCGCCTTGTGTAGCAAATCGTCCTGCCAAAAAAATTTCAACATTCGAACACTTTTTCGTGTAGGCCCCTTTATCGGATTTTCGAAAATTTCAGTATTTTGGGTAGCTTGGGCACATTTTTCAAACGAATTGGCTGCAATTTGGTATTTTGGGTTATCTCCAGATGTTAAATTTTTCTACCAAAAATTATCAATATTGGCATACATTTTCGAGAGTCCCCCTTATAACGGTACCCCTAATTTTCGGTATTTTGCGGATTTCAGACGGTACATTCATTCCAAATGCCTGTAATTTGCTATGTGGGGTTCACAGTGGGTAGTAAATCTTTATACCAAAAATTATAAATATTGGTCCACTTTTTCGTGTAGACCCCTTTATCGGTGCTTCGAAAATGTCGATATTATTGGGGAGCTTGGATACATTTTCCAACCGAATTGGATGTAAATTGGTATTGAGGGTTCTTATTGGGTAGACAATCTTCCTGCCAAAAATTATCAATATCAGACGACGTTTTAATATAGGTCCCATATAAGAAGAAACCCAAAAATTCGGAATTTGGGGCGCTTGGGTGCATTTTTTAACGGAATTGGCTGCAATTTGGTATTCTGGGTTCTCTTTGGGTGGAGAATCTTCGTACCAAAAATTATTAATATTGGTACACTTTTTCGTGTAGACCCCATTAGCGATGCTCCGAAAATTTCGATATTTTGGGGCGCTTGGGTGCATTTTTCAACCGAATTGGCTGTAATTTGGTATTTTGGGTTGTCATTGCGTAGCAAATCTTCCTGCCAAAAATTATCAATATCTGACGACGTTTTAATATAGGCCCCAAATAACCGAACACCAAAAATTCGATATTTTGGGGGCGCTTGGGCACATTTTTCAACCGAATTGGCTGCAATTTGGTATTTGAGGTTCTTATTGGGTGGAAAATCTCCGTACTAAAAATTATGAATATTGGGTCAATTTTTCGTGTAGACCCCATTAGCGATGCTTCGAAAATTTCGATATTATTGGGGAGCTTGGGCACATTTTCCAACCGATTTGGCTGTAATTTGGTATTTTGGGTTCTCATAGGGTGGATAACCTCCCTACCAAAAATTATAAGTATTGGTGCCCTTTTTTGGGTAGCCGCCCTTATAATGTACCCCTAATTTTCGGTATTTTGCAAATATCGGAAGGTACATTAATTCGAAATGCCTGTAATTTGGTATTTGGGGTTCGCATTAAGTACCCTATCTTTTAACTAAAAACTAAAAATATTGGTGCATTTTTTCGTGTAGGCCTCATTATAGGTGTTTCGAAAAATTCGATATTTTGGGAGCTTGAGCACATTTTTCAACCGAATTGGCTGCAATTTGATATTTTGGGTTCTCATTGGGTGGAAAATCTTCATATCAAAAATTATCAATATCCGTCGATGTTTTGGAATAGCCTCCATACAAAGATCATCCGTTATTTTCGATATTTTCAAGACCCTTGGTCCCCCGTTTCAACTTGAGTGTCTGTACTTGCAGATATCACCCAAATAAAAGTCCCAATCGATTTTTTAGGTATTATGAATGTCTATCTCATGGTAAAGAGTGTAAAAAATCAGACCGGTCCGGAACTTAGCGACATGTTTTCCTGATTTCCTATTCAAATCCTTTTTTTTATTACAAGTCAATATGTTTTTATTTTCATTACACCATCTTAAATCCCAAAGGATACTAAAGAGGAGTTCATGTGTAATAAATTTAATGAGACGAAATTTAATTCATTCGCCTTTCGCCATAGAAGTTCAATTTGCCGGAACAATCTGAATGAATAATTTTTACACACAGAGACACATAGAGACACATTGAGATTTCAATTAAATAATGATGGCGTATTTATTTTCACTTTCATCGTCAACACTTTCTCTGCTCTTCCTCTCTATCCCGCTTTTCAATTCATATTCCACTGGCTCCCGATTTCATATTATGTCGGCAGATAGGCCTCCGACTCATTTGGTTGATTTAAGAATAATTTCCATTATGAAATGAAAGTGTTTATCGGTTTTGTGGTGCACACACACCCACATACATTTGTGTATGTGTGTGTTTGTATGTGTGTCACATAATCTCGTTGTTTGGTTCTGAACATATCCTTTGTTGTCGTTTCTTGTCTGCCTGATATCCTTTCGAAAAAATACACAGTGTTTGCCTTGCCTTGCATTTACATCATATGACAGGATTTGTTCGCTCCTTGCTTCGTCCCACTTCGTTCATCTTACCCGGCATTATTGTCATTTTCGTCCATATCTGTGTGTGTGTGTCATCAGTCTTCAGTGTCGTCATTATGTCGCTGATGTTCTTCTGCTCCCGATTTGTTTTGTTTTTCTTTGTACCGCCGCCCGCAGACCTCTCCCCGAAGTATAATGGCAGTTGCGGAACGATTATCCGCTTTATTTCATGTCGCTTTAGCCTTTCAGCAATTGTTTTACAGCGCCACACTGACATGAACCCGAAATGCACTTAAACAGAGATATAGGAACACACACACATAGTTATAACCACAGCCCCATGAACCATAAGCAGTCTGTCCTGCCACATCCTAATGCCCCCAATATCTATCTATATGAGCTGTGAGCCATATTTGTGTATTGGTGTTAATGTAATTGTTTGGTATCAGTCAGCATCTCCCGCTTCATCCCT